TGTGGGTATTTTGTGTTCGTATATAGTATTTGCAACGTTTTTCTAAGGCTTAAATTACTTCCAAGCAAACTATTCAAAACATTTAAAAATATCTGTCCTTTAATTTTAGACTTTCCTTGTTTAAAAAGAGCCTGTTTCTTTGGAACCAGTTTGGAATGAACATTTTTATAATATTTTCCTGTGTGTTGGTGTCATGTCTCTACAAGCCACCCTTTGTTGAATATGACAGCAGTTAGTGGAAAATAAAGAAGTCATTCTGCGAATGGTCAGAATTTAAAACCTCAGGTTTTTGAGAACTGGTTACTTTATTGATTATATTTAGTTTTTGTAAGTATTATCTGCAATGTCAACTGTAGTCTTTTACCACTTATCTTTTGAAGAAAGTTTAGAATGATTATTTACTTCCAAAATCCAATTATTGTCCCCTGATTATTTAGATTGTCTTGTTTTATAAACTCAGAGATTTCTGGTTTGTTTTTTTCCTCTAAGGAGGTAATTATTCTTTTGTTCATTAAAATTTATTGAATGCCTGTTGTACACTAGACCTTTTTCAAGCATTGAAAATGTAGTATCAAACAAAGCAAAGATCTTCGTCTCATGGATTTTATATTTTCATGGGAGGACAGATAAACAGCGAAAGTAAAATAAATTAATGTCATTTGGTAACATTGGAGAGAAATCACAAGTGGGTTAGGGTACACTGGGGGCAGACTTGTTGCAATTTAAATCAATTTTAAGTAGAGGGGATTGTAAAAACTTTGCCTAGGAGACATTTGAGGAACCATATGGAAACAACCATATGAAGCAATATAGTGATGCATGCAGAAGTCATAAATGCATAGACAAACATGTAGGCAGAAAGAATAGAAGTATAAAGACCCTAAGGCAGTGGTGTGCCTGGCCTGTAAAAAGAATAACGAGGTCATTTTGAAATGAGGTCAGAAGCAATGGGGGCCAAATTATGTAGGTTCTTTTATGACCTTAAAAAAAAATGGCTTTTACTCTGATTGAAATGAGAAGGCATTGGGAAATGAGGGGAGCAGATGTTGTATTATATGATTTATGTAAGGATGTCAGGATAACTCTAGCTACTTTGATGAGAAGGGACTGCAAAAAGGGAAGAGTTGAAGTTGAAAGGTCAGTTACTCCACTATGATCAAAACCAGAGTAAGAGATGATACAGATTATGGCTAGTTCTGTGTAGGTGGTGAGAAGTGGTGCAATTCTGGATATATTTGATAGCTAGTCAATGGTATTAGCTGATGGGTTAGGGGGAAGGGGTAAGAACTTGTACTTTGGGTGTCGAGGAGAAGAGGAGGAGGAACAAAGAAAGTTGAGAAGGTTGCCAGTGATAACTGGATGAAACCAGGAGAACCTGAGAGCCAGGGAAGGAAAAGGTATTGAACATGGTGAATGACTTCAATACTGCCCATAGGTCTAGAGAGGTGAGAACTAAGTGGCCTTTGGATTTAATGATCTGTATGTTGTTGGTCAAGTTTCAGTGGTGCTGTGTGGAGTAAAAGTCTCATTGGAGCATGCTCAGTTTGAATGCAAGTATAATTGAAGGCAGGAAATACGTATTTGTGATGTTTGCCATAAAGGACATGAAAATCATTGACCATCTAGAGGGATGTTTGGGGTTAAAATGTTTTTGTTTGTTGGAGATGTATTTGCCATTGGTTTTGCTTTATCTGAAGGGGAAGCTGATGCTATAGGAGGGAAAAGTGGGACTTAACTAGAGCAGTGTCCTTGCATAGGAGTAGGGCTTTAACATCTATAGCCAAGTGGGAGAATTAAACTTTGATGTGACCGCTGAAAGTGAAGCAGAGTAGGAGGGTAAAAAGTCACGTAGGTGGGTAGGTATCAGGAGAGATTCTGGAAGTTCTCTTTTGATTACTTATATAGGAATCAAGGTAAGCTTGTAGAATATTCAGGCTTTAACTTTTGATTTCTTTCTGATGCTTTTCATCAGATGATTTGCCAAAAGTCTTGGGAAGCAATAGGAAGGCTATAAAACTATGAATTAAAATTTTCTTTCAGAAAATTAGCGTTTGGTTATTGTTTAGTTTGTCTACTTTTTTTTGGTGCTTTTTAAAAAAAAATTTATTTTTTTATTTGTTTACTTAGTTACACATGACAGTACAATGACCTTGACATACATTTGTCTACTTTGTATAACTTGGAAAGAGATTAAAAGTCTTTCAAGACTACCTGGGAAATTATTATTTTTTTCCTATTTGATCTTCAGACTCAAGAGTATATTCCTTAGAATTTACCCAACACAATTCCCATGTTAAGTATAAAAAAAATTAACCCAAGACATAACTGGACCAAAGAGGTGTAGCTAAATTTATAGCCAAGTCTAGACTCCAAGTTTCCGTTCTAATTTCTAAAATCTAGTTTTGAAATTCAGTTCTCATACATGTTTGCATACACAGCTAACCTTGCCCTTTTGACAGTGTAACTGACTTATTCAAAAAAAGTATGATGTAAAATGCCAGGGTCAAAATGGGAGCACTCTGTCTAAATTATGACCTTTGTAAAATCTGTTTGAAATTATATGGCATACTGCAATTAGAATGCACTGAAGTAGTTTCATAGCCTTTGCTTTTGTCTGAATCTATATTAAAATGAAAGATTATAAAGCTGGATTGATTATATAATATTTTATATTTCTGGTACCTTAAGATAGCTGTAGATTGCATTATATTAAAAAATGTGTTGAGAAAAACATGGCTACTCTAACTTGCTATTTCTAATTGTTTGGCTTTTCACATTTCTGTTTCTGCTTCTTTATCTCAATATTTTTCTGTACCTAGTAATTCAAAACGGGTAAAATCAGATAATCAACATCTAAAATACTTATAAAATTTCTATGAAACAATAAGCAAAGGGCAAGCAACTCAAGAGGAAAATGAGCAAAAGATATGAATAGGTGTTTCATCTGAGAAGAAGCATGATTTAGACAATAAATATGAAGAAATGCTCATAATTAATAGGAAAGTACAAATTAAGGCCATAATTATATATCATTTTATATCTTAAAATTAAGAAATTCACATTAATATTGGAAAGAATGTGGATGAACATCAGCTACTTGTTGCTGGTGGGATTATAAATTGCTAAACACTTTGAGGGAAATAAAAATCAGTATCATTCTGAAAAATTGAACATGCATGAAGTCCTTAACTCCTACTTAAGAGAAATTTTGGACATGTGAAACAGGAGACAAGTATCTGAACTTTGGTAACAAAAATGTCTAAAACAGAAAACAAAACAAAAGCAAGAAGCTCTTGACAAGAGAATGAATAATTAAAATGTGGCACATTAATGATATTGTATTACTTTGAAGTGACAGTAAACTATATGTAACAACATGGGTGAATCTTGGGAACATTATTGAATGGAAATGTCAAATCCTATAAGACAGGAGCTTTTTTATATCATTTTTACAGAATTGCAAATAAGCAAAATAGTTATTGGGATATATAAATATGTGTTACACTTTTTAAAAAATAATGATACACACTAAATATAGGGTAGACATTTCAGAGGGTAGGGGAGTTGAGAGTGATGGGCATGGAATCAAGAAGGAGCCAATCAGTAGAACAAAGCCAGTAATTCACATTCAGTTCTTGAGTTGGGTAACAGGCACCTAGATTTTCATTTTATATGTTTCTTTGAATTTTATTGTGCTGCAAATAATTATTGTATGGAGCAATCAGTATGTTTAAAAATGAATAAAGCCATACTCAGAAGTCAAAATTTTGGAGATATTTCACCACTTCTTCTTGTTCCCCCACTGCTGCTTGAATTTCTAACAGCATTCAGTATTTCACTGGAAGTATCTTGTTTTAAAGCAGTTCTTCTTTGTGTCTGCCATTTGATAAGTCACACAGGAAAATGTTAGATGTGTAATCTAATCAGTGATTTGGGGAAAATAATTTGGGATTTTCCTTAGAATCTATTCAAGAGGTAGACTTTTAAAGAATACCACCCCCACCTCTAGCTAGATTCCTGTAAAATGAAAACCACCCAAAAAGTGAGACAGACATCAAAACTAGATTATCGTTGGATAGGTATTTGAATGATAATTAGCTAATTTTGCCTGAACTATTATAATATGATTAAAGAGATGAAAACGTAGAGTTACATGACAAAAAAACCCCACAAATATTTGATTAGAAAAGTAGAATATTGTTAAAAATAAACATTTTAGAGTTAGAAGGACCCTGAGAATTAGTTCAGGCTCCTCATTTTTGAATAAAGGAGCATTGAGACCAAAGAAATAATTGACTAAGACCATGAAACTTGTTGAGATCGAAGTTAAGAAAGACTAGAGCCTAGATTTGATGATGTATGTGTTAGTGTTTTCATGTTGGAAGGTTAAATCATAAATAAAAGAAACATTTAGATGTTCTTTATTAGGCAAGGTAAATAACTTAAGGCTGGAATGTGACCTTTGAGGAGATGATTTTTCTGATTTTAATTTAGAACCAATCAGGTTAACTCTATATTTCGTTTATTTGCAGATGCTTGATAAATGCACTTAGACAAATAACATGATTTTTTTTTTTCTCTTTCTAAAAAGGAGTCAGTATGATCTATCATGTACAAATGAGTTCTGGACTGGAAGTGGTAGAATTGGACTCAGAATCAAGTTCTGTCAATAAGTGTCCTTGTTGTCATTAATTCTTTGCACAACTTCTCAAGATCTCGCTTTCCCCAGCAGTAAAAGGAAGAAGTTGAATCAGATGGTCTGTAGAGACCAACTTCAAATCACTTTATAATTTTCATGGATTTTTAAGAGCAGATTTTACCTATTTTAAAGTGTTCTTATAGGTTCCATCATTAAAGTAAGGCAAGGAAAGGAGATAGAATCATTTAAAAATGAATGACGCATGGTACTGAGTTTATATTCTAAGCGTAAACTGGGTTTTCTTTATCTTTCCTTTATTGCAGGTATAGTTGTTCTCCACATCTGCTTCAGGAAGAAAGTGCCTGTCATTCTTATTTCTCCGTGGGTTCATGCCAGCCCAGAACAGAGAATCAGGTGAGATTTAGGATTTTTTTTTTTTTTTTAGTCTGTTGAAAAGGAAGCCAGGGACAGTATCAGGATTGTCTTTACTGAATTGTTGAGTGGTACCAAGTTGACTGAACCATGATTCAAAAGACCTGGCTTTCAATCATTCTTTAGCACTAATGGCTAGGTAAACTAGGGAAAGCCACTTTTCCTTTGATGGCTTTTAATTTTCTGCACAAAAAGGGTATGTTAGAATATATTATCATCAGTTTCAATTCTGATTTGAAATCATTATCACTTTTGTTGTAGATACCTGAAGGACAAAAATTGTGATTTTAAAGCATCATTTCCTATATCTTTTTCCTGGAAAAATCTAGAGGTACTTCTCAAGTTATGATAGATTAACCCATTGTAATTTGAAAATGTCCTAAGTTGCAACTGTCTTGAAAACACCTGACCTACTGAATTTCATAGCTTAGCACAGTACAGTGTAGAGTATCAGTTGTTTACTCTTGTAATGGTGGCTAACTGGGAGCTGTGGCTCACTGCCTCTGTCCGGCATCAAGAGAGAGTAGCATATTGCATATCAACAATTGTGGAAAGGGTCAAAGTTCAAAATTTGAAGTAAGGTTTCAGTGAATGTGTATTGCTAAAGTCAAAAAATCATAACTCAAACTATCCTAAGTCAGGGACCACCTGTAATTGATTTTGAAGCGCAGGCTTTGAACATCAATCTGTTGTTGTACTGTAATTGAGTGACTAGTTTAAGAGATAAATGACGTTGTAAGGCACTTCAGAGTGAAACCAGAGTTTCTCCACTCCTGCTGGCAGTTGAGGTCTGTGTAAGCTGCATGCCTCTACAGCTGAGAAATGTGTTGTAGCTCCTAATGGTGGATTGCGCCCTCCACTATTGCAGAAGACTCCAGCAACTCACTGCCAGTTTCTTCTTTCTGGGTTCTTGTCTTGTGAATTCAAAGAATTCACAAGAGGAGAATGAGTGAGTTTAAGATTAGAATTTATTCAAGTGTAATTAGAAACAGAACTTCCACAGGGTGAGAGGACACCCAACAGGGGACTGAACAGTGGTTGCCAGTTGGGTGCGCTAATGTAGGGGTTTATATAGCTCTTGGGTCAATGCTATTGGTCCAAAGTTATGCTAGTCAGAGTTTGGAAAAGTACCAACACTATTGGTTAGCACTGTAGTCCCATTCAGGTCTTCCCCGCTTCTGTATGCCAAAGTGAGCCTGGTGGGCTCGGTCACCATGCCCATGCTTGCTGCTCATGCTCCAGTCTACCTGGGTCACTGCTCCACAGCTCCACACTGCTTCCCTGTGCCTCTTGGCAGTGATTAATGGACTGGCTGCATGGCTCAGTGGCCAGGTAGTTATGTCAAGAGTACTGCAGCAAAACAATTGTCTTAATTTTCGTATTTAACTTTACATATGGTTATTGAAAAGTTTACTTTTTATGTGAAGTTATTTGTCCTTCCATAATGTTATTTAGCTTTAGAGAGGGCACCTTTTTGACCATGTTAGTTTTGTTGTGATTGCAAATGACCCTGTGAAAATTAGCTTAATCAAAAAGGGGAAGTTATCAGGCTTTTGGGAGTGTTCCAGGAGACACTGAGATCCAAAGTCAGAAGTGCAGTGCGGCTGCACAATGGGAACCTGTGACCTAAGCATAGTTAGGTTTCCTGTCAGCTCTGAGCAGGGTGCCTCTTCTGGGCAGGTCCATATCATTCTTTACCATTTTTTTGGAAACTGGCTATCTTCATGTTTCCAATCTTTGTGATGGGAAGAGTAGTAGCCACTACCTTCCAAGCTTTGGGTCTTGCATTCCAGACTTCCAAAGATAGGTCTCTTCTTAATACCCCATCTAAGATTCCCCTGAACAGACTGACTCCTCAGTGAGATGCCCCCAAACAAATCATGGGTCAGAGCAAGATCATTTTAAAACTTTGCATTGGCTCTTTGTTTCAAACGTGTTCTCTGATAATGATCCGACTTATTCCTACTAAAATGCAGATAGCTAATAATAAAGTATAGGAGTACTCCTTTTAGATGTATTTGCATTTAAGTTGGGATCAAAACATGAGCCAAAGCTGTATTTCTCAAACTGAATTCATAGGAATCCTTATTTCCAGTATATTAAAAAGATGAACATAAATGCAAGAAAAGTATTAGAAATTAAAGGGCAGGTTCTTGGGTTTCAGGGAGTGGAGGAAAATAAGAAACCACGTTGGTGTGGTTAGAGGTGGGAAACCAATAAAGCTCATAAGGGTTTTGCACTGTCCCTGGCACATAGTAAGAGTAAGGCTTTGTGTTAGCTGCCATTTGTTCCTACAAACATTAACCTTAACCATTTTTACTTCTGGTTATTTGAAGGTTATAATGATGTGTATCTGTTATCTGTTTAATATAAGGATGTATATTTAATATAAGGATGTATATCTGTTACCATTTAGTTGTTTGACAACACATTTTATAAATACAGTTTGTTTTTGAAAAATAGAATCAACTGTATAAAAGGATAGGAGTTTTGAAGCATTGTTTAAATTATTGACTTACCAAGAAAGGGAAAGAAAACAGAAATGGAGGACATAAGTGTTATTTTTGCTATAGATCTTTGGAGACTTGTGCAGTTACTAAATACACTTTTAAAAATTGGGAACAATGCTGGGTGCATTGGTGCCTGCCTGTAATCCCAGTGGCTTGGGAGGTTGAGACAGGAGGATCGCGAGTTCAAAGCCAGCTTCAGCAATGGCGAGGCATTAAGCAACTCAGTGAGACCCTATCTCTAAATAAAATAGAAAATAGGGCTGGGGATGGGGCTCAATGGCTGAGTGCCCCTGAGTTCAATCCCTGCTACTGCCCTGCGCTTCTCCCCTCAAAAATAGTTGGGAATATTAGCATATCAAGTTGTCATTCTTTTTTTTTTTAAGTAATTTTTTAGTTGTCAATGGACCTTTATTTTATTTATTTATATGTGGTGCTGAGGATGGAACCCAGGGCCTCACGCATGCCAGGCAAGTGCTGTACCACAGAGCCAAAAACTCAGCCCCAAGTTATCATTTTCTTTTTAAATTTAATTAACTACTAGCCACTCTGTTTTGTTGTATGTTTTATTTTGTGTTGACATGGGTGAAAGCAGTGGGAGAAGGAATGCTCTTTCTCTTCACAGTCTTGTAAAGGGTGTATCATTTTGGCACTTGTTGTCTATGGTCATGTGAGCATTCTTTGTGTGGCCCTCCATTTTATGAAGATTTCTACTTAAAGGCATCTTTATTTGTATCAATATATTTGTAAGATGACTGTGGCTGCTTAGTAGCACCCTAAGACATTTAATATTCTTTTAGAAAAATATCTATGACTAATTAAGAGAAATATGGAGCTTAGGAGGAAGTCCTACTCATGAACATTTTATCCCAGTTTGGTCAAACAGCAACAATCGCCTGAACATTCTGTGTGTGTGTGTGTGTGTGTGTGTGTGTGTACACATGTGTGTGCATGCTTTATGTGAATGAAAAAGAAGGCCACTGCCCTCCTTAAGTGTTTGTAATTAGAAAGTGTTAGACAGTATAAATGATATAGTAGGAAGGAAGGAAATGGGGAAAAAAAATCTAAAACATAAGTTCTCAAGCTATTCAGTTAATTCTTTGTATGTATTCAGAAGGACCTCAAAAAGCCTATCCTAAAATCATACTTTAAAAGTACAGATTCAGTATTTTTTGAATAATTTTTGTGGATGTCTGTATGCTTAATTAAAGTGTAAGTTAATGAATTATTTGATTTTGAAACATATAGGGAAAGAAGTACAGATTTCAAATTTTTTCTTTGCTTTTTTTTAACATAATCATTTTTGAGTTTTCTTATAAAAATTGGGATATTTTGATGCTTCCCCCTCTAAACAGCAGAAATAATTTATGGTCTTTCTCCCTTCTACACAACTTTCTTCCCTTTCTTTTTTCCTATCACATAATTTTTGACCTTTCAAATTGGTTATATTTAGTCTTATTGCATGTTTTGTAGGAAATAAATCATGTATCATGTTTGTTTTTCTCCCTGCAATATCTTTAGCTGTTTCTTAATTATTTATAATGGGCCCATGAAATGTTTCAGAGTCCCATAGGAATGAATTCTTTGTACTCAATTCTCAATCAGTTGTGTTTCAAAATTCAAACCTTTTTAAAAAATTTTTTTTTCAGTTGTTGATGGACCTTTGTTTGTTTGTTTGTCTATTTATTTATATGGGGTGCGAGGATTGAACCCAGTGACTCACAAAAGCCAGGCAAGCTATCTACCCTGAGCCACAATCACAGCCCTCAAAATTCAAACTTTTGAGATCAGAATTAAGATTTGGTTTATGTTAAAAATCTTTACCTTCTTCCAGCTTCAGTAGATAATCCTGAGGTTTTGCTGTGTCTGGGGACTGGGCTTTCAAAAATAGGGTTTTTGTTTTTTAATGTGGTCAGAGATCATATGAGGAAAGCTTTTACAAAATTTTATCAGAAAGCAAGCTGGCCTCGCATGAAAGAATTCCTTGGCCCTATTGTTATGGAGGTCTGCTGTGGACTTAGACTGTCTAGAAGATTAGGTTCTTTAATATGGGCTTGTCTTTATCTCCTGTTTCTTGGATTTTTTTTTTTTTTAAATGGTTTTCATTTCCTACACCTGTTTAAAAATGATCCTGTTCAGGGACTTTCCTTTTACAATATTATGGATGTATTTGAAATCCACCTACTTATTATGAATAATAGCTAAATGATAATAAAAATAATATTAATAGCAGTTAGCATTTACTGTTCCTAGGGTTTTATTTAAGCAAGTGTTCCATCATTTATTTTTCCTAACAACCCTATGAGATAGATTCTATTATTATTCTAATTTTATATTGTTAGAAACAGTTGGAGAAGAAACTTGCCCAAGGTCACAGGATTAGGAAATAGCAGGGCCAGATTAAAATGTAGGCATCTAGCTTATGAATTTGACTGTATTGCTATTCTGCTTCTGGTGCATTGCTTCTTTCTTAAT